GAACGCGTGCCAGGCGCCTGTGAACGTCGCCCCCAGGGTGACCTGGAGTCGCTTGATCTCTGTGCCAGGACGCCCCCTGTAGACGCCCCGCTGCGCGTTTTCGATCCTGACTTTGTAGACTTGGCCCCCCGTGTCGGGTCCAAGGGTTCACGCCGCTGGCGGGCGGCGCGCCGCCCGCCCGCGTCGGGCGCGGCGGCTCGCTGGCTCCAGGCGTTGCTGCTGATGCTGTTGCTGCCGCCGCCGCCTGTCGTCTGTCGCCTGTCGGGCCGCGCCAGGTCGTCGACGTTGTCAGGCGCCAGGCCCCGCCCCGCGGGCAACGAGAGGACTGGGGAATGGCGGCCGCGGCCGGTGCGGCCGAGCCGCCGCCGCCGGCCGCCGCCTCCCGCGTGCTGGCCTCATGGGGGGATGCGGCGGCGGCGGCGGCAGCAACAGCGGCAGCAGCAGCGGGGGGCGGGCCCAGGCCGAGCGGCCCGTCGCGGGCGGCGGCGGCCAGGTGGTGGCGCCGCCGCAGGGCGGCGTCGGTGAGGTCGCCGGCGCCGTGAGCCATCGCAGCGGGGACCGAGCTCGGCGCGTACCTGGACCAGGGGCGTGCTTGAGCCAGGGGGGGTTACGGACCTGGTTACGCGAAGCGTCTAGAATCCTGTTTCGTGCTAGGTCAGCTGGCCGCCTTGGGACTCCGTCGTATCGTCGCCGGCGATGGCCACAGGGGTCAACGAACCAGCTGCAAGCAGCCAAACTTCCTGGCGCCTGTTGGAGCCGGGACCGGCCACGTGTTCGGGGAAGTGCTCGGCGGCGGGCCCGAAACCAGCGGCACGCAGCGGATCTCGCGCTGGGAGGAAGAGGAGTCAAAGGGAGATGGACGAGCGCCCGCTTGCTCCCGCTCCCGAGATGTGAAGAGCGGCAGGGTCGCCGCAGATGACCCGAAGAATTCGAGCACATGCGAACAGTGGTCAGAGATCCGCGGACCTGGCGCGCGGGCGCAGGATCTGCGAATCGGGGGGCGCACCTCCCAAGACACGGCGCCAATGCCGCCCGATCTGGCGACGGAGCGCACAATTGCGGCAAGGAAGCGAGGTCCAGTCACTCCTGATCCGCGCGCCACCATCCATTGCCGAGGCTCCTCCGCGGAGGGGCCGCCGCAGACGGCCTGGGGAATGGCCATCGCAGAGCGGGCGCCCTGGGTGGCGATCTCCGAACCCTACACCACACGCCAACCTTGGAGGCGTGCACAGGGGGTGTAGGGGACGGGGGGGACTTACCATCGCTCGGACGTCCATTCCCCGTGCATTTGTCGATCTCGTGCGTGGCTTTTTCTGCGAAGTGATCCAGGATGCTCCTCGATGGTCCTCGCCGAAAATATCACACGTTCGAGCGATGCCAAGGGGAAGGCTTCTTAGAAGGAGGGATGCTTCTACGAAGCCTTCCCCCACAAACCCCTCTGCACGTGGCTGAGATTCTCCTGAATCGATGGGAGGCGGGGGAAGGGTTCGGATTTCGAGTTACCTGGATCGTTGATCGGCGAGGGTACGGTTCGGCTTTCGCCGCCGACGCGCAAACTCGAACCCTGGCCCGCCGCCTCCGCGAGCAGATCCGCTGCAAGAGCACGCGGAGCACAGCGGGCACCCGCGGAGAAGCGCGCCCTGCCCACCCTGCGTCGCCTGACTTCGCGCGTCGCGCGTCGCGCCCCGCGATGCGCGACGCGCGGTTATCTCTGCGCCCCCGCGAGGCCGCCCTGGAGGAGGGCGCCTCTCCAACCCAAGCCGCGATGCGCCAGCCGCGAACATCTGCGCGTCCCGGAAGCGACCTGGCTGCCGTGCATGTGTTGCGCCACGGCATGGCGTTGTGATCTCTCCTCGCCCCCTGGCCCACCCCTCCGCGAGCAGGTCCGTCCCCAACGCACGCAGAACACGGTCGGCAGCCGCGGAGAAGCGTGCCCTGCCCACCGTGGCGTGCCCTGCCCACCGTGCATCCTGCGCCACGCCCTGCCGCTGTGATCTCTCCTCGCAGAGCTCCGACTCCTCGCTCTCCCGCCGCGGAGGAGGCGCTCGCCGCTCCGCCGTCCCCCCCCCCGCACCCCCACCGCGCGGCTCCTTGAAGAGCCGGCCGAAGGTGTCCTCGCCCTCGCCGTAGAGGGCGCCGCCCGCCACCACGAAACCCTTGATCTGCGACTCCTCCTGGCCCGCGGAAGGTTTGCTTACCCTCCTCCCGCACTTCCTCCGCTTCCTGCTCCTGCTCCTGCTCCTCCTGCTCCTCCTGCTCCTTTTGCTCCTCCTCCTCCTCCTTCTCCTGCTGCTGACACGATGATGGGAAATAATCCGGATCGTCCACAACGTGAATTAGAGAAGGTGAGGGTCACCCATTAAGGGCACCCCCAGTGCACAGTCATGCTGCAGCTCGAACTCGAAGAAAGGATCCAGGGGGATGTAAAATCCCCTCGCACCCTCCTCCTCCTCCTCCTCCTCCTCCTCCTCCTCCTCCTCCTCCTCCTCCACCTCCCACCTCGTCCTCCTCCCCGAGGCTGGGGGGGCCCGTGAATGCACAAGGAGGGGTCGAGCAAATGCTCATCCTGCTCCTGACCCCTTCTCTGCCGCCTCTCCTCTTCCGGCTCCTCCCCTGATTCCTGACCCTCTCCCTGTGCTCTACTGTTCTCGGTCACTGAAGTAACATCGCGCATCGCGCCCCAAGATGCACGACACAAGCGAGGTAACCTTCAGAACCGCCCCTGTTCCCCAGAACAGGTCGCCCAAAGAAAGCGTCACGTTATAAACCAACCCTCTTAGAATTTATAGTAGAACCACTCCCCAGGGCAGTCGGACAACGAGGGTGTTTAAAACATTGCCGTTTTTGAAGCACTGCCAGTGTACATAGCAGCGGCTGCAGCAGCAAAGACGTGGACGACCACGAATTATGACGACCACGTGGTCTCAGTCGCCATGGATTCCGCAAGCTTGTTGGCCTGGCGGTCGTGGCAGGTGGCAAGGCGGGGACATTGCTTGCATTGACCGCGGCAGGCGATTCCTCAAAATTGTGTCTGGCGGGGGTAGGGCCATCACATGAATCTTTTACCCTCGAGGCCAGACGGAGTGGGCGACAACCCTTCATATCTACACGGAACTGCACAACCGCTCTTCAGGTTTCAATCTCTGCGTGATTACAGCGCATGGCAAAACCACTTCTTGCAAGCTCGAGATGCCTTGGTCGAGGTCCCACGGCCTCGGTACAGACGGGCCTCTGTGAGGCCTGGAAGAAATTGCAGACCCTCAACGCTTTGGCGGGAGGCGGGGAAGGTGGGTGGAAAGACTTGAGTGGACACGGTTGCGGCCAAGGGGATCAGAGAACAGCGTTCAGAGAACTGTGGCATCTTTGACCCTCGAGGCCAGACGAAGCGGGCGGCAACCCTTCATATCAACACGGAACGTCACAACCGCTCTTCATGTTTCAATCCCTGCATGACTACACCGCATGGCAAAACCACTTCTTGCAAGCTCCAGATGCCTTGGCCGAGACCACACGGCCTCGGCACAGACGGGCCTCCGTGAGGCCTGGAAGAAATTGCATCCCCCGAACCCATACTGTGTTCTGGAGCCGCCTGAAGTGAAAACCTAACCGATCAAACGATTCAAATGGGCTCCTCTCAGGGCCTCAGCCGATCTCAAGAGCCAACTTGCGATGGCGGTCGACAACCTCCTAAAGTAAGCGGCCGCGAGAGCGGTAAATTTATCCCCGAGCCAGGTGACTTGCCTCGCAGAATAATGCGTGGCTTTCGACTGAATATGCACTGACCACGCCCCGTGCACAGCACATGCTCATGACGAAGCGCGGGGACATGGCAGCCTACAAAACGAGTTCTCTTGCGCCACCGCGATCCGAAAGCACGCTGATCCACCGCGAGTTGCCTACGCGAGCGATGGCCATCAAGGCCGACACGCGCGCTTCACGCCACGCTTTCGACGCACGTGGGCTCTCAAGAAGAATCGGAATGTGATGCCTAATGCAAGCCCTAACCACCCTACAAGTGACCCTAAGGGTCTCATTCCCAGTTCTTAGCCTGGCAGATTCTGCAGGCGTGGGGTCAGGAATCCCGCAAGGGCACTGCGAATCTGCTTGAGTAGAGCGGGGGTCCAGCTACTACAAGGGAAGGCGCAAAACACAGCCTTCACACTACCGGACTGGATCCAGCCCAAGATCGCGTTCACAACGACTGGGTTGGTCAAGTCGAGCTCGGCCCCCTTAAGTGAATCAAAACTGACGCATGCTTCTTTCCGAGGTTTCAAGCTGGCAGCGATAGCCCCCGTGCCTGGGAACAAATCTAAAAACACACGCCTGTCATGACTGAGACTGGAAGTACGCTTAAACAACATTCGAAATCTCGCTCGAATATCATGGCAATCCCACGCTGTGATCTCCCCGACCTCTGTGGAAAAGGCCTTTCCACAGGCTCCCGCGCAGCCGCTTCCTCCCTGGGCCGGGCGGCGCAGGCGGCCGTGCCTTCAGAGTCAGCGAACCCTTCAGCTTACGCTCGATGGCGAGGCCGTAGTTGCGCGTCGGCTCATGCAGGCACTCCAAGGACTTCAGGGCTCTCGCGTGCTTCTCGAACCTCTTGACTGAGGTGTCTGCTGCCCAGCGGCCCCGACGTTTGATGTCCTCGATGCTGCGAGTCTGACGCAGCGCGTCGTCGCTGGCGCCGCCGTGCCTCATCATGCACGGGCGGAGGTTGGACTGCCCAAGGCCCGCCACCTCCGACACTCGCTTGAAGAGGTAGGAGAACTTCCGATAGTCGAAGGACCAGGCGGGGTCGTGCCCCGAGCGCTTCTTCAAGGTTGAGAAGCGCGGGTAGAGGTGCACTAGCTCGGGGCTGTCGAGCAGCAGGCTTTCGTCGAACTCCTTGGTCATTGTCGGAATGACCTCCTCCTCCGGGGCCAGCAGCAGTGCCCGGAACTTGGTGCCCGAGCCGGGCAAAGGCGGGATCAGCTGATGCACCCGCAAGCCCAGGCTCTCGCTCCGCCTCAGGTAGGTGACCAGTGCACAGAGTCCGATCCAGGGAAGCGGGGCTCGGCTGAGTCCTGGAGCTAGCCGCCTGAAGCCCTTCAGGGCCGTCTTGGCTCGCTCCAGGACCTTCGAGCTGCGCAGGCCTGGCACCCTGTACTCGAGCGCAGCGATCACCTTCTCGCCCGAGTCGTCGTTGTGGCCCTTGAAATAGAGGTCCTCCAGGTACTCGAGCATCGCGGACGAGATGTCCTCGCTGGTGTTCATGGGCAAGCCGTCGTCGCTGGCCCATGTCTGGAAGTCCCGAAACTACCTGTCGTGCATCATCGCAGAAGGACGCGTCACTTTGTTCACCTCCAGGAAGGACTGGCCGTAAACGCGGGCCTGGAGAACTTCGCCTTGATGAGCAAGCTGCCGACGCCTGGCCCTGTCTCCGTTGCTGTCCAGCCGGCTGGTGGTTGACTTCTGTCACAGGTCTCCTTGCAAGCATGGGAAGATTCTTCGACGTCAGCAGCTTCTGAGACGGTATCATCAGAGTCAGAGTCCTCGTGCTCCCCGTCGTCGATCCAGCCGAGCCAATCGCCTGACGGTCCCAGCGGGTGAGCCTTGCCGCGCGCACGCCAGTGGCCGTCGTCAAACTCGGGCGGCGCGTCCAGGTCTCGACCAGCCCTGGCCAGCGTGTCGACAGCAAGCTGGAGCGAGGCACGCGCCTCGGCGCCTCGGGCGACCCATGGGGGGCGAGCATCTCGCGGCCCGCCACCGCCCAGCACGGGCGAACCCGACTTGAGCCTGAAGGCGGCGTCGGGGACCCATCGGGACGTGAACTCCGAATCCGAGATCATCGATAACGCTGCTAGCTGACGACAATGTCGGTTGAGGGAAGCGTTGCTGGCACGGCCTTTTCCCTGAACTAAAACAAATCCCCAGTTGTCTCCCAGAAAGGGGTGACGATTAGAGAAGTGACGGGCGGATCGAAGACGGCTTCTGGCTGTGACAATTGTCGCGCGACCTTCGGAATCTGTAATGCTTCTCTGCGACGCGCCATCGGCCCCTCACCTTCAGTCCCCAGGTGGAGAAATCGCCGATGCTGTCATGGCTGGTATCGAACAACTCTGGAGGCAACTAACTCATCGGGCGGGGCACCGTCGTCGGGCAGCGGGGCGCCATGCACATGGTCGCTGTCTCCGAGGGCACGCCGTCGCGCATGGACTGCATCCTCGACCGCAAAACGCCAGCGCCCGCTCTGCCGACCCCACGTCCTCACCCGATCCAGCGAGTAGTGCTTAACCACGATACCGAAGCCTCCGTTGTCGGAGACGTCGGCGCCCTCTGAGTCCGAGGCGGACACCAGCGGGCACCAGGGCCTCTTGCTGTCGGCGTAAGCGAGGGGCAGCAGCACCATCATCCAGCGGAGCTCCGTCGCCACCGCTGGCCAGAGCCTGATGCAGGGCTCTCACGCGCAGTCAATGAACCGGTAGATAGCGCGCGGGATGCTCAGCAAGCTCCTCCTCAGGATGGCTGACCACGTGAAGTGGCCGACGATGCGGCGCAGGACCTTGCCCGCGGCGAACCCGTCGCTCACGATGTCGCAAGGCGCACCTTCCAGCAGCGGCGGTGCCCCACCGAGATGCGCCCGCTGGCCCCGTCTAGCGTCATGCCCGTGAACTGGCTCTCGGGCAGCCCGTGCTCCAGCTCCTTGTGCTGCAAGCCGTCTGAGGCGAGCTGCGCGTAGAGCTTCCGAGCCATGCCCCTCACGACGCCATCGTCGGTGCCGACGACCCCCGCGTTGTCCACGTAGATCGCCGTGACGAACTTGTCGCCTGATGTCAAGCGCGTGCTTCTTGTCGAGCAAGAAGGCTTCTGGGGGTACTCCAGCGCGAGGAGCGCCGGCAGTAACCATGGCCTGGCAGAAGTAGGGGGCCCACGACCACCCCGCGGCCATGACCTCCAGGTGTGGTGTCACGTAGCCAACCGAGGGGATTCCCATCTTGGCGGCCAACTTGCTGTTGGCCTGGTGGAGGTGCTTGGACGAGACGCGAGGGGGCGCGAAGTAGCCAGAGACGCCTGGCGCAGTTTTGCAGCGGTGGAACGCATTGTCAACATCCAACTGGGAGAGGATGAGGTCGTCTGCAACACCAATCTCCACTGAAGCCCAGGAGGCAGGCGGTGGCAATCTAGAGCGCGCTGGTTCCTCCAACGGTTCATTTACGGCTCTGACGTCAAGTATCACGCGCAGGCGTCCGTCCTTCTTTGCAGCGAAAAAGATGCCGACCGGGGCGACGGTCTCCTCGCGGATGGTCACTAAGTTGGCCTGTAGCATCTGCACGATGAAACGGCTGTAGCGCACCTGGTCCTTCGCGGGGGCTGGGTCGCTATAAGGTTGAACGGTAGCAGTGGGAGATGAGCTGGCCGAGGTCTCTGACCGCAAACTAGTCGAAATCGACCTCCAGCGTTGCAGAGCCAGACCCGACAGCACCTGTTCGCCGTCGGCCAGGCCACCCATGTTGGGCAAAGAGACCGAGTCAGACTGGAGGCTTCGTCGTGGGTCACTATCTGCGTAACCAGGACGACTGCCGTCAAGCTCGCTGAGGGCTTGCGCGGGCGTGCAATGGGGGCGGCGGGATAGCCTTGTAGACGGCGGCGATGATCTCGACGCCACGATGCTGAGCAAGGGGCTCTCCCAATCCAGGCGGAGGATGAATTGTGCAACCGTGCATCTCATTGAGGCACTCAACAACCGAATTGGCCCGAGCCTTCCTACGCCGTCTAACATGCGCGCGGCGGCGCACAGAGCGGCGCCCAGAGGCCTGGTCACAAAATTGATCTTCTTGAGGATAAGGCGGAGCCGAAGGTAGAAGCTCTCGGCTGACTGGCATCCCGGACGTCAGCGACTGGTCGGGAACCCCAGCCGCCTGGAAACTCATCCTTTCCCAGCCCCCGCTCCGGCAGCTGCTCCGGCCTCCCTCTGGGCTTCGGCTAGCACCTCTGCGGGGGCTCGCTCGGCCTTGAACTTCCCCTTCGGCCCGTCAAGATGCTGAAGCAGCCCTGCAGCTGCATCCGCTGGAGGGGGTGGCCGCTGAATGTGGGCCGCCTGGCCCGCCTGCAGCCTCCTCTCCACGTTGAGTTTCCCCGACTCCTTCGCGATAGTGCTCTCGCGGTGGAGCTCCGACGCAACGACCTCCTCGAGGAGAGGGCAGGGCATCAGCTGGCCCCGCGTCTCCCCGACTCCGCGGTGCAAGAACTCATCCTGCAAGGGCGTGTCCACCTGGCCATCCGCCCTGAGCAACCTGTGCTTGTAGCGGTACTCCGCCAGTTGAGCCCGACGAAGCAGCAGCTCGACAAACGAGAGCTCGGCCGTGTGGACCTGATCATAAGTCAAGGTATACTCCACCGCCTTCATGGCAGCCCCGTGATCCGACACCCCTGGATCGGCGATGGAGAACGCGCAGGTAGACTTCCACCATGAGTGCCGAGCACGAGGGTGCCCGTTGGTCTGGAGGATGAACTGCAAGCACCACTTGGTCGCGCGCGCCCCCGTCAGTGGCCACGAGCCTCAAGACGTCTCAGTGACCAAGTCCACAGCTACCGTGAAGTCCTCGAACCGCTTCCCCAAGCGATCCTTGGTCACCTCACGGATGCGCGCGCCTAACTCGAGCTCCACTGCGTCGTCACCTGGCTCACCCGTGCCGCTGTCGCGATCGACGATGAGCTCCAGCCCGCCGTCCTGCATCAGCAGCCCGACGCCCGAACCTAGGATCCAAGCGTTGCCCGACGGACTCTCCGAAGGCGTCAGCACGCTGCCACCAACATCGCACCAGCGGCGGTCGGGCGCAGGAAGGCGCCCTGTCCCGCAGGAGACTCCCAGCTCGTCGACGACCTTGAGCGCACGCTCCTGCGCGGGCGAGAGCTCAGGCGCCGCCAGAGGACGGGGAGGCGCGACCACGGGGGTCCGGGCCCCAGCGTCCTCAACATCCTCCTCCGCGGCGACGATCCTACCATCGCCGTCGCCCCGGTCGGCGTCCAGAGCTGGAACCGCTGAGCCCCTGGTTCTGAGCCCGACGTGCCGCTCGAGCTCGTTCGTACTGTGCTGGGCGAAGCACCTGTCCAGGTTCGAACACCCGCCCCCAGTGCGACGGTGGCCCCAGACACTGCTCGCGGATCGGGGCCCCCGCCAAGTTGCACGGGGCAATGCCGAGCAGCGGTACGCTCAGCTCCTCGGGGTAGATGTCCCCTGTCGGGGTCATCACCCACATGATCATGGACCCAGGATCGTCGGGCGCCTCGCCCATCACGCGGCTCATGACCGGCGCGTCGCAGTACTCGATCAGCAGTCGGTGGTGCCACAGTCGACGATCGGTGTCGTAGCGAACGATCACTTCTCGACTTGGCCTCATAAACCGTTGGGGCAGGTCCGGCATGGCGTCTCCAGGCGAACGAGCTCAGCGCGGCGCCCAGAGCAAGCCCCAGCACGAAGGTGACGATGCCAAAAGACTATGGCGATCCCAGATAGCTGCTTTGGACAGCACACGTTAGAGCCGACGTTGCAATGGGCGAGAGCGAGGGCCAGGCTAGCTTTGCCGCCTCCCAGATGGCCAGGGAGGCGGTGGCAATCATTCACCTCAGGCGTCGCCGCCCTCAAAAAGACTTGAGCGGACACATTTGCGGCCAAGGGGACCAGAGAACAGCGGTCACAGAACTGTAGCATACAGGTGGGTCACCGGATTCCCCGGCGATGTCCTCCGTCGGGGGCGGGTGCCGAAAACGAAATCGGCACATTCCCCCGCGGGGGACGCCGCCCAAACTGTGGGGTGGGGTCTGATAAATTCAAAACGCGCTTCCCCGAAAAATGGCCGGAAAGGGGTTGGGGGACGTATATCCGACTGCCCTCGTTCTTGCGCGACTCGTCTCGTGCCCTCGCGCCGACCATCCTGGAGAAGGCCAGCTCTGCGGCCCAGGCCGCTACCCCTGAAGCGCCCCTGGGGGTGGCCTGGACCTCCTCTCGGCTCGGGGGCACGCCGACTTGGACTGGAGATCCACGGATCTAGCGCCTCGCCGGATCCACGGCTCGGGGAACCCCACCCCCGAAACATGAGGCCGATGCCGCCCGATCTGGCGACGGAGCACGCCGATACGTTACGCATGCAAGCGGGACCCGCCGCCACTCCACGCGCCTCAGTCCGTGGTTGCGGCTCGTCGATGAAGGGGCCACCGCAGATGGCCGGGGGAAGGGCCATCGCAGAGCGGGCGCGCAAACTCGAGCCCTGGCCCGCCGCCTCCGCGAGCAGATCCGCTGCAAGAGCATGCGGAGCACAGCGGGCACCCGCGGAGAAGCGCGCCCTGCCCACCCTGCGTCGCCTGACTTCGCGCGTCGCGCGTCGCGCCCCGCGATGCGCGGTTATCTCTGCGCCCCCGCGAGGCCGCCCTGGAGGAGGGCGCCTCTCCAACCCAAGCCGCGATGCGCCAGCCGCGAACATCTGCGCGTCCCTGGAAGCGACCTGGCTGCCGTGCATATGTTGCGCCACGCCATGGCGTTGTGATCTCTCCTCGCCCCCTGGCCCACCCCTCCGCGAGCAGGTCCGTCCCAACGCACGCAGAACACGGTCGGCAGCCGCGGAGAAGCGTGCCCTGCCCACCGTGGCGTGCCCTGCCCACCGTGCATCCTGCGCCACGCCCTGCCGCTGTGATCTCTCCTCGCAGAGCCGGGTGCGCCCAGCGGGGAGGGCGGCCAAGAGGGGGGGCCCGAAGATCGTGGTCCGAGGCACGCGCGCGGAAGAGAGGGAGACCAGGGAACGTACTGAGATAAGACGAGTCGACGCAGAAGAAGAAGCATGGACATAAACTTTCGGAGGTCCGCGCGGATTTCTTAGATCGGCGCTGGACCCCCCTCACTGCCGCGGGGAACGCGCCGGGGGCGGCGCTGGAGGCGCCGCTCAGAAGGGGCCCCAGCACCGATCCAAGAAATTTGCGCGGACCTCCGACGATAGATGTGTATGCCTCTCCTACTTCAGATGAGGGGGCCATGACATCCAGGGAGACATCACGGCCCTGGCCATGATATCCACACGCGCACACACCCTACGTACGTAGACCTCACGCCGTCAGGCTCCTCACGCTGTCAGGCAACTCTGGTGCTCTGCCGGGCCACCGCTCGGGCGAGGGAGTTCCCCGGGAGCGGGCGGCCTCGGGCGCCGGGCCGGCTCCTCCTAAACAACACCCCAGGGAGGAGGACGAGACCTCCTGTTCCTCCTCCACCTCCTCCTTCTCATCAATCTCCTCCTCCTCCTGCTCCTGCTCCCCCCACCTCCTTCTCATCAATCTCCTCCTCCTCCTCCTCCTCCTGCTCCTGCCCCCCCCTCCTCCTCCCCCTCCCCCTCCCCCTCCTCCTCCTCCTCCTCCTCCTCCTCCCTCCTCCTCCTCCTCCTCCTCATCCACATCCTCCTCCTCCCATCATCATCATCATCATCATCATCATCATCATCATCATCATCATATCATCATCATCATCATCATCATCATCATCATCATCATCATCATCATCATCATCATCATCATCATCATCATCATCATCATCATCATCATCATCATCGTCCTCCTCTTTCTCCTTTTCCTCCAACTTCTGCTCCTCCTGATCCTCCTCCTCCTCCTCCTGATCCTCCTCCTCCTTCATCCTTCTCCTCCTCCCCCTCCTCCACCTGCATCCCCCTTCCCTTTGCCCTCCTCAGCCTCAGACCCAGCATCAATCGCAGCCTCCACCCTCGGCTTTTTCTCCTCCCCCCCCGCCCCGCCCCGCCCGACGAAATACGCGGGGCGTGTGGCTCCTGAGGGGGCAGGGCCCTGAACAGAGGGTCCCTGAGTCAATCATCCTCTCTCCACCTCCCTTCTCCTCCTCCTCCTCCTCCTCCTCCTCCTCCTCCTCCTCCTGCCATTTCCTCCTCCTCCTCGTCCTCGTCCTCGTCCCCGTCGTCGTCCTCCTCCTCCTCCGCCTCCTCCTCTTTCTCCTCCACGGAGAGAGTCAGGGCGGGCCCCAGCCTGGTTGAATGTGGTCAGAACCATGTTCTCCAGTTCCCTGTCGGCGGCCACGGTTGCGGTGCCGCAAACAAGAAGAGAAGACACAAGATGCGGGGGACACGGAGGAGAGGGCACAACGCCCAGGAGAGTAGGAGAGTAGTCGTAGTCGTAGTCGTAGTCGTAGTAGTAGTCGCGGACGTAGTCGTCGTCGTAGTGGTAGAAGTAAGAGAGAAGTAGTAGTAGCAGTAGTAGTAATAGTAGTATCAGTAGTAGTAGTAGTAGTAGTAGTAGTAGTAGTAGTAGTAGTAGTAGTAGTAGTAGTAGTAGTAGTAGTAGTAGTAGTAGTAGTAGTAGTAGTAGTAGTAGTAGTAGTAGTAGTAGTAGTAGTAGTAGTAGTAGTAGTAGTAGTAGTAGTAGTAGTAGTAGTAGTAGTAGTAGTAGTAGTAGTAGTAGTAGTAGTAGTAGTAGTAGTAGTAGTAGTAGTAGTAGTAGTAGTAGTAGTAGTA